TTAGGGTGGAATCATTGTGAGCAGAGCTTCCGGCTTTGGGGGTCGCCGGGATAATGTTGCGAGGCAAGGCCTCAACAACGATTGGGCGAGAGTCTTCACTTTTAGCCTTCTTTGGCGTATAAGCCTTCTTCAATGATGAGATCCTCTTGTACTTGCGAGATAATGAAGATATTGAAAAGGATGATGAGAGATATTCTTCAAACTTGGTTTGGTCAAACTCGTATTTGACCGTGGATTCAACTGGAATCTTGATCGGCTGCGACAGGACGGTCTCGGCAGCGAGACCATTGGCTCCCACTGTGGTCGCCAGTTTGTTTACGTCAGGAACAAGTTCTGTTGTAGAATTCATTATAACTATTTATTGATTACAATGAATACAAAAGAGTAAGCTTCGTACTTTGCAAAACTACTCTTTACAACAAAAAAAATCAAATTACAAGCTCCTTAGAAACAAACGCAGGATCGTTGTTTGGATCGCTGCCTGCGTGGGATCTTTGCCTGTGCCGGGGTGCGTTAGCCCGTGGACCACCGATTCACAGATTCTGATTGAATCATAAAGGTTTAGGGATTCTTCCTTCGTTTATCGAAGTAAGAATTTAAAGCGAATATCTTATCGATGTAAGATGTTCACTCTTCCAAAGATCAAGTCAGAGCTTAGATCTCTAGGAATCGCCAAAAGCTTCTTGAGGATGTTTGTGAAGAAGGAAGACTCTCTCTCTTGCTCTAATTCACCAAAAGCTCAAGCCTTTTCTGTCTTAATTGTTCTCCCCAATCTGCCCTGGATTGCTCTATCAAATGCTCGATCGGATGCTCTCTAATCAGCCCCCCTTTTGTAACCATTGTCCCACTACCTAAATACCATCCTTTTATGACGTTAGTGGGTCTCCTTTTAGTTTGTAACCATCTTCCCACGTTTATGGTTGATCTCAAGTAGTTATGAAGCTAAAAAACCATCAAAAAACGTGTTGTAACCAACTCTATGGCCGAGACAGTGAAGTCTGTCGCGCACCTCCGAGACTGTTCGCGCTGTCTCGGATATTTTGGCTCTAACGTTTTCATCCGATATCGGAATGAGATGATCAAAGATGTGTTGGAAAGATGACGAAGAGATATACAACTTTGGTCTTTTGAGTTTCTTCAGATTTGGATCATATTATAGTTTAAATATGCAATACATTTCCTCGGCAGTCTCTGCTGACGCGCACCTTCGAGACAGTTCGCGCTGTCTCAGGTATTTTGGCTCTAACTTCCTCGTCCGATGTCAGAATGAGGTGATCCAAGATGCCATAGAAAGCTGACGAAAAGACCTACAACTTTTTTCTTTTGAGAGTCTTCATATTTGGATCATATCATGGATTAAATGTGCAATACATTTCCATGGCAGTCGCTGCTGCCGCGCACCTCCGAGACCGTTCGGGCTGTCTCGGGTATTTTACCTCTAACTTCCTCGTCCGATGTCGGAATGAGGTGATCCAAGATGCGTTGGAAAGCTAACGAAGAGATCTACAACTTCCCATTGATGCTTCACTCTGTTTACTTGCGCGACACCACGTACTGCCGCGCTATTACCGCGGCAGTTATCACAGCCGCGCACCTCCGAGGCAGTTTGCGTTGTCTCGGGTATCTCGGGTATTTTGGCTCTAACTTCCTCATCCGATGTCGGAATGAGGTGATCCAAGATGCGTTGGAAAGCTAATGAAGAGATCTACAACTTCCCATTGGCGCTTCACTCTGTTTACTTGCGAGACACCACGTACTGCCGCGCTATTGCCGCGGCAGTTATCACTGCCGCGCACCTTCGAGGCAGTTTGCGTTGTCTCGGGTATTTTGGCTCTAACTTCCTCGTCCGATGTCGGAATGAGGTGATCCAAGATGCGTTGGAAAGCTTTCAAAGAGATCTACAACTTCCTATTGGCACTTCACTCTGTTTATTTGAGCGTCATCTTGTACTATCGTGCTATTGCCGTGGTAGTGTACACTGCCGCGCACCTTCAATGCAGTTTGCGACCTCTCGGGTATTTTGGCTCTAACTTCCTCGTCCGATGTCGGAATGAGGTGATCCAAGATGCGTTGGAAAGCTATTGAAGATCTCTACAACTTTCTATTGGAGCTTCACTCTGTTTATTTTCACGTCACCTTGTACTGTCGTGCTATTGCCGTGGTAGTGTACACTGCCGCGCACCTTCGATGTAGTTTGCGACCTCTCGGGTATTTTGGCTCTAACTTTCTCGTCCGATGTCGGAATGAGGTGATCCAAGATGCGTTGGAAAGCTATCGAAGAGATATACAAATTCTCATAGGCATATTATTCTGTTTGTGTCCACAACACCTTCCATTATCGCACAAATGCGCGTTAGTGTTTCTTGTCGTGGGTGTTCATATTGTTCTTCTATGTTGTTTCACATGTTCCTTTGCTTCTTTTGGCTTTGGATGATTTCCTCTAACTTATATAGGGATATTTATATCTATAGGCATTTTTATACGCCTACAAGCATAGTAAGTTATCGAGGAGTTTCTCTTAGGCTTAATACTAATATTTTCCCTCTATCCTTAGCCATTTAAGGCGTTGGATTCAGAATTGAGTGTGATTACAACGGTTAAGTTATAATCAAATTTGGTTGTGTCGTTCGAAGTTTGAAGTCAAGGCTCATCACATGGTAGGCCTGCTATTTCATGAGGTGGTCATTTGTGGAAACGACCGAAGGAGCGTGATGATATCGTTAGGATAATAACATTCTCAGGTTTGAATAGTGACTCATCGCTTGGTAGGCCACTGAATAATGTCATTTACTGGAATGATGATGTGGAAATGATCAAGTCGTTCAGTGATATGGAAGTATAACGAGTGCGATTAGAATAAAGGCACATCGCATGATAGGCCACTATCAACGAACAACGTTATTTGCATGAATGATGATGTGGAAATGATAAAGTTGTTCAGTGATATGAAAGTATAACGACTTTGATTAGAATAGAGCCACATCGCATGGTAGGCTGCTATCAATGAACAACGTCATTTGTATGAATGACGATGTAGAATGATCAAGTCGATTAGTGACATATAAGTATAACAACTATGATTAGAATAGAGGCACATCGTATGGTAGGCCGCTATCAATGAACAACGTTATTTGCATGAATGATGATGTAGAAATGATCAAGTCGTTCAGTGACATGGAAGTATAATGACTGTGATTAGAATAGAGGCACATCGCATGGTAGGCCGTTATCTTCGATCGCTCTAAAAGGATAGAACGTTCAGAAAAGATCAGATGATGAATCATCGCATGGTAGATCACTATCCTGATTGAATGATTAGTAGGTGCTCATCGCATGGTAGGCCACTACTTGGAATATTTTTAACTCAGGTTGAAGAGTTGACTATCAGAGGTGATTATTAACATGACAGTTTTGTGGACCCATCATCCTATTCCAGAGGATTAGTGGAAGAATTTGGGGGGCAGTAAGGAATGCAATTTTCACCTTAGTTAACCTCGTAGGAGTTGAAAGAGTTTTAATGACTTTAACAATACCGAAGGCTGCATTTATTAATATGGTCATGTAGCATTGTTACATTTGTGGTTTTTGAACCTGCAGCGTTGTTAAGATTTGGAATGATCTCTTTTCCTTCCACATGGGCATAATAGTATTCGTCAATCATGAAGACCTTTGCAGGGAAGGGGCCGGTATATAAGAAGCCTATGGGTAGTACTTCTTTAAAAATTTATCATTGATAGTCATCATGATATGATCACCGTCTTAATTGATTAGGCAATATGCTCCATCTGAGTCGACTATCTCTACTACACATGGCCATTCCCATTTTAGTTCGAACTTCCCTTTATTTTTGGAGTTCAAAATCATGGGACGTCGGACGGTGAGAACTAGGTCACCTTCCTTGGAAATGCGGTGTCTGACTTTCTTGTCAAACACTTTGGAGATACGAGCCTAGTAAAGTTCGATATATTGTTGAGCTTGTAGTTACTTTTCATCTAGCGTTTCAAGTTCTTCAAGGCGTCAACGATGATTCTCTTCAGTTGTCATACCAGTCACAAGTGCTATCCGAAGGGATAGAATTTGAACTTTCAATGGTAGGACAGCTTTATACTTATATACTAAGGAATATGGCATGACACCGGTTGGTGTACGAACCGTCGTGCAATACGCCCATAAACTTTGACCCATCTTCTCATTCCAGTCTCATTTGCTTGTAAAGACCAACTTGGTGAGAATTTTAATGATGGTCTTGTTGAAAGCTTCTGCTCGACCATTCGCAGCAGGGTTGTAGGCTGTTGATGCCAAGTTTATGATTCTAAATTTGTCGTAGAATCATGTGAAGGTATGGCTAACAAATTGGGGTCCGTTGTCATGGATTATGCACCTTGGGACACTGTACCTTTATATGATGTGATGTTTGACGAACTTGATCACATTGCTCATTTTAACTAATCTCAATAGGACTGTTTCGGCCCATTTGAAAAAATAGTCAGTTATCGCTAGGATGAAATCGATGTCCTCTCGAGAAGGGTGGGAAAATTGGGCCAATGATATCCATACCTCATGTTTCAAATGGCCATGAAGTGGCCAAAGGATGCAGATGCTCCGGCGACTGGTACATGTAGTTAGTATGTACTTGGCAAGCATGACACCGTTTAACATAAGCGACAGTGTCCCTGATCATATTTGGCTAGTAGTAGCCAAGTCTGCGCAGTCGGTCCCACAATTTAGGTCCTGGCTGATGAGCTCCACAAATACTATTGTGGGCTTTTAAAGGGCTTCTTCTACTTCTTTATTTGACAAGCAGCAAAGTAACAATCCGTCGTACGACCTCCTGTACAAGGTTTGTGACAAGGAGTGGTAGTAGAATCTTGATGCTTGTCTGCGTACGGATTCCCTTTCTTTAATGTCTTCAGGTAATAAGCCATATAAGACATAGTCGACGATCGAAATCGCCAATCCCTGGGTTCGAACGCCTTAGGCCCTTCATCGATCACGTCAACTTACAATGCATATTTAGGCCAGAAAAGTTGTTTGCTAGCTACGGTGATCCGCTGAGTAATCATTTTAGGTAGAGCTAATGTAGCTGCGAGTGATGCCAAGGCGCCTGCATATGTATTCTTTAGATGAGGCACATAATCAATATAGAAGCCTTTAAAAGAATTGGCCAATATAATAGCCGTTTCGTGATAAGGGACCAGATCTACATGTCTGACTTCGAATTTCCCTTTCAACTGGTTAATGACGAGCTTTGAGTCGCCATATGCTTCTAAGTGTTTTACCCCCAGCTTCTTGGCTAGGTCAAGACCAATGAGCAAAGCGTTGTATTCAACCACGTTGTTAGAACATGGTTCTATCAGGGAGAATTCTCGGAGCAACACATGGTTTTGCGGAGAAACCAATACTACCCCCACTCCAGTAATAATTGTAGCTTTAGGGCTAGTTCTTGATGCACCATCAAAGAATAACTGCCATACTTGCTCTTTTGAGGCTGCATTGGCTTCACAAGTCTTGTTCGATATGTCTTGGTATAAATCAACTCTTCCCTCCATAGGTTGGTTGGCCATGAGATCGCAGATGACTTGACCCTTTACTGCCTTTTGAGGCTTGAAGAGGATATCGTACTGGGATAGCAGTAATGCATATCTTGCAAGTCGCCAATTCAATGTGCTAGGCTACGTCATGAATACAAGTATTGGATTGACTTTAGAGATGACATATATGGTTTGCCCGACCAGATAGTATCATGTCTTTTGAATTGCAAAGACCAAAGCCAAACATTCCTTCTTAACATGAGGATAGCGGTGTTCAGCTCCTGATAAAGTTCTGCTAAGATAGTAAATGTCTTGCTCATGGCCATTATCATCGTCTTGAGATAGGAGTCCTGTTAAGGCATGATCTGTAGCTCGGACATATATCATGAATAGCTTACCCGATTTTGGTGCAACCAATATGGGCGGGCTGGAGAGATATAATTTGATCTCCTCAAATGCTTTCTGGCAAGCCTCATCCCAAATGAAGGAAACACCTTTCTTCATGAGTTTTGAGAACATCTGACACTTACTCGACAAGTTGGAAATAAACCTATGGATGTAAGACAAACGCCCTTGTAGACTGTGAAGCTCCTTAAGATTTCGTGGAGGCGGAAGCTCTTGAATAGTTTTAACTTTTTCCGGGTCAAGGTGGATTTCATTAGTTGTGACCACGAACCCAAAAAAAATTTCACTGGTCATTCCCAAGAAGGACTTGGTTGGATTCATCTTCAATTGATGTGATTGCATAAGCTCAAACATCATTTTCAAATCTTGCAGATGATCACCTTTGCTATGGATTTTAACAACTAAGTCGTCAACATAGCATTCCACTATCTTTCGCAAATATTCCCGAAAAATAGTGGTTATAGCATGTTGATATATGACGCTGGTGTTCTTCAATCCGAATGGCATTACTGTATAACAATATATCCCTGAAGGTGTTCTGAAAGAAGTATGCTTCTCGTCTTCATGATACATCTTGATTTGGTTATACCCTAAGAATCCATCCACGAATGACATCCTTTCAAATCCACACGTGTTGTCTATAATGATGTACGTGATGGGCAAAGCGAAATCGTCCTTTGGACATGCCGAGTTCAAATCTCGAAAGTCAATGCAAACTCTGATCTTCCCATTCTTTTTTAGAACTGGGATAATATTGGCCACCCAATCTAGATGTTGCTATTCTCGGATAAACCCTAAATCAATGAGCTTTTTAACTTTGGCTTCGATCACCTTCATGATTTGTGGGCGGAATCGTCGTTGCTGTTGCTTGACACACTTGGCGTTTGGTTTGATATTAAGGCAATGCATGGTCCCCTAAGGATCAAGACCGGGCATGTCCTCATAATTCTAAGTGAAGACATCAATATACTCACATACAAGAGCAATGAGGTCTTCATTTTCTTCAGGTGACAAGCTATCACTTATGAATATGGGCTTCGGGTTAGACTCATCTCCCATATTCACTTGGATTACTTTGTCGTCAGTAGGAGGCTCACACTATTTGAAGTAGTTTTCCCACTGCATAATGAGTTGTCTACTCAATGGACCCTCGAATAGAGGTAACTGATCATCCTCTCAGGTTTCACTTGGGAGAGCCAAGGTCATATTAGCCATAAGTTTCTTGAACACGGCTCATGTACTGGTATCCGAATCCCAAAAGATCAATTCGGAAGAAGAACTAATGGAGTAACCATCCGACTCTTCACTAGCTTCGAAGCATTGCACTAGCGGTGGAGACACATATCCCAACCCCTTGCGAGTCTTGTCGTAATAGTTATCAGGTTTCCCTTTTGGGACAAAGGGGGCAAGCGGAGTGCGCTGACCTTTGCCAAAATTTAGACCTCCTGCATTGGAGAAGTAGTATCCTATTTTCTGCATTATGCGGCGCATTGTTAACCTAAAATGTGAGAATTGAAGAGTTCCTTCTTCTTCATCAGATCCATCCGAAAGAGTTTGTAGTGGACTCTAAGTTTGTTCGAAGATGATGTTTTCTTGGCCATTTCTCCTGGCGGGCACCACAAAGATAACCTGCAAAGATTCAATGTGCTGTCGACTTGTCATGAAAGATGAATGAATCGACATGTACAATGCTGACTCAGCATATAATCGTGGCAAAGGATCTAACAACATGTCGGCACTTGTACCTAATATGTCAGAGTTAAATTCAACACACGATAAGTAAGCTAAATCATCATTATTATTAAAGACAACTTCACTGTCATCATTTGCGGTATCATTTACATCAAGGCTCTCGAGGCCAATCACGACGAGATCAATGTCATTAAAAACAAGCCCCTTTTCATATTCAGGTTTAGTATCAGCCTCGTTACCACTGTCGAGGTCCTCAACTGGTGATGCATCGGTCGACTCACCATCTAGGTAGTGAATAGAATCAGTAAAATAATTCTTCACCGCCTTGAATGGTTGCTTTTCCATGACCATTGTTTTAACCTTACCATTCTCATCCATGTATTTCATTCACTGATGAAGGGTGGATGATACAATCAAATTGTTGTGGATCTATGGTCGACCCAATAGCAAATTATAGGATGTCTCTGCATCGATGACATAGCAGGTGACATCCATCTTCAAGTCACTCTTTTAGTATTTGGGCTTTATCTTGCCAAGAGGACGGGTGTTAGAGGTGTTGAAACCATAGATGGTAGTCCCTGTTGCTGATAGACGGTGTAGCGGGACCCTAAGATGATGGATAAGCCTCAAAGGTATGATGCTCAGGGTAGAACCAGGGTCAACCTAGATTCAGTCTACCCGAACAGAGCTAATATATCCTGTGAAGTATAAAGGTCTATCATGCTTCTGGTATTTCCTCCATCTGACTCGGTGGAAAGTGAGCAAGGAATGTTTCATTGTCGGCCAGTGCTTCACGCAAAGCCTCCCTGGTCGATCGGGATAGACGCAGGAGCTCGAACAATATGATCCTCACTGATATGTTGGCTAGCTGGGCCAACACATCAAATTGAAAGGGACCCTTCGAGCTTTCAGGAGTATCCTTCTTGAGCGCTTTATTATATCGGAGCTCCCTTACCTTCGGATTATTAGAAGGTAGTTGTACCTTTTGCGCTACATCCTTCATTAGCTTTGGTGAGGTTTCCACTGCTTCAGGGTACTTCTTTAAGTACTCCTTTCCACCGCAAGTTCCTGATGTCTACATAGGTTGTGTGGTGAACATTGGTTGTTCATCCTTGAAACTACCGAGGGAAGTAGTTTCGACCCCCTCATCTGGAATAGCAGAAATATCATTGTAGGATTTTTGTTTGGACTTGGACTTCTTCAAGCTCGATGATGCCCATTGCCCCTCTGCAAGTAGGTCAGGATGGACCTACATAATTTCACCTTCTGGGGTGGTGTAGGAAACCATACCCATCTCCTTGTACTGATGCGGATCAAGGTTCACAACCCTAGTCTCTGTTTGTGGGATCGGTTTCAAACCGTTCTGGACCTGGAGCTCCGTGAAATCTCCGAATCGTAATGAGACCATATTTGCAGCCACCTTCTTTTGTTCAGACTAAAGGGTCATGATGCCTGCATCCAAGAAATCCTAGATTTTATACTTTAGGATATAGCATGCTTTTGTTAGAAGGTGGACCATCCTGTGGTACATGCAGTAATTAGGATCATCTATTCTCGACACCTCCTCAGGTTTCCTCGATTCTGGGAGCTTTATCTTCTTCGTCTTAATCAAGGACTTGAGGATTGGGACGACTTGCTCATCTTTGAAGTCATACTTCTTTTGAAAGCGGTTATCCTAAGAATTACTCTTCTGCTTCGAAGAAGATTTAGGGGAGGAAGTGGTCTCTACTGCCAAAGTATCCTTCCCCTTTGACTGTTTCTGAGGGGTAAAATTGCCCTGATTACCCCCACTTCTAGGGCGAGACTCGAACATCTCTTCAGCATTCATCCTTTTGAGCATGTTCTCGACCTGTTCTCCCTGCCAAATCAAGTCTTTCCATGAGCGTGCTTCGATAACGCCCATTTTGGATAGTATATTGATGGAGAGATTATTCTGTCATATTTCGATGAGAATAGCCTCTGAAACTTGATCACGTGAATGTAGTGATCAATTCCTAAATCTCTTGACAAAGTCACTGAATGACTTTGTCTTCTTCTGCTTTTCAGCTAGCAGAGTAGCCATAGAACACCTCTATGCCACCATTGAAGAACCTGGCCATGAAGAGCCTTTCCATGTCCTTCCAGTAATTAATGGATCCAAGATTTAGTCTTCAAAACCATTCGAAAGTGACCCCCTTGAGGGTACCAATGAACAACCGAATCATGATGGAATCATTCCCTATTATGTGTCTAGTCTACGCTTGTAAATAGTAGATATGCTGGGTAGGAGAGCCATTGCCATTGAAATACAGGAGGTTGAGTGGTTTGAACTTTGCAGGATAGGGGACGACGTCCCATTCGACGGGGTATGGTCTAGTCACCCCTAATCCCTTGAAATTTCCTTAAGAGTTTCAGTGCATCTAGCTACTTCTGGAAATTATCCAACTTATGGTCTCGATCCTTCTTACCAGGGTTGGATTCAGCTTCTGATGATTTAGAATGGATTTTGATGATTCCTTCATCCTCATCTTCTGCATTGTTGCCATCTCGATTTCGTCGGCTAGATTTCTCTACCTCGGGTGAAGGTCGCCTAGGCCTTGATCCTAAGGCTTTATCGGTATTCTTCTTCTTCTTTTCCTTCTCCCAGAGGAGTTTCTCTATCATCTCTTCCATGCGCCTGATAGTTTCTTGTTGCTGGAGAAGAGTAGCTTGCTTTTCTTCCAGCCTTTTTGCCATGTCTTCTTCATTTCCGGCCATGTGAGTATTCGCTTGTTCACTTTGATCGGTACTAGATGGCTAGGAAGTTGTGATGGCCGAGTTATTAGGCTCCTCATTAGTTTCATTCGCTAGATGTTAGTAATCCAGCAGAGTTACCGAGTCAGTGTGGGTATGGGTGTGCTGAAAGATGCCATCTCGCTTAGTGACCAAATATTTCATCCCCGGAGAAAATTCAGGATCAGAAGAGTCAGAAGGACCACCTTGTCCTTTGCCTTTCCCTCTGCTAATCATATTGCTGGTAACATTAACATGTTCATTCTTGGAAGCTTGTCCCTGGGGATGAAAGCACCTCCTTATGGATGATGGAACTCTCAGTAGTCTAGACAATCGCTCGAAGACCAAAGGCATGGGCAATGGTCTCCCGCATTGGCATTGGGAGAGTACTGTGGAGCTAAGCTTCTCACAGTTACATTAAGATTTCATCTGACTCATACTGTGCTTACGAACCAGATAATCAGGGAGATCTGTAGCCAGACCACCCCTGTTAACTCAGGTATCTTGCTAACGCATGCACAAGAATCTCTAAGTGTTAGAGGTTGACGAGCCTGAGTGGTTGGATGAATCTCATGATTGATTCAAGGGACACACTTGCCGTCTGGGTTGAACCTCAACTTGGACACTAGTTTTGGGCTGAAGGCGAGGTTCATCATTTCGACGAGCCTGAATCTGGCCAGCTCGAATAGCAGGGCGAACTTGGACACTTGGGCGAGGCTTGTCATTTTGATGAACCTCTGTTAGTCGAGTATCGACTATATTGCGGGCCTTAGACACGTTGTCTTGTGGCCGATAGTGGAAGCCATCCAGAGAGACTAAGGCTCGGGCTTCATGGCGAGCCTGATTTTGGCATCGACGTTGTCTTGCCCTTGTTGAAAGTAGGTCAGCGACAGGCTCCACAGCAGCCAATGTTTGGCGAGGTTGCTCAGCAGCAGGCAATGTTTGGCGAGGTTGCTTAACAACCCACCTTTTAGCTTAACAGCTAGTTTTCAAAGCCTTGGCATTCAGAGGCAGAGTTTTCTCCTTGAGGTATACTTGAGTTGAATTATCAGAAGCCACGTGGGCTAAAGTCTCGTAAGAGACTCTGCGGCACTTGCGTGCCTTTGTAGGACTCGGAGTACGAGAAGAGAGGAACTCCTCGTACTTAGATTAGTCGAACTCGATTACAAGAGTCTTGATGTTAGATCACATGGCGATCTTATATGATTGCACCATGATCACTTCATCAGAGATAATGAGTTCTCCTACTATGGTCGCCATCTTCTGTAGGGTCTCAAAAAAGATTCGAAAACAATTGATTCCCTTAACTGTATTAGCTTTGAGAAAAAACTCTATCGCCTGGTAAGAGTCTCGTTATAATTACACTTATCGAGTACAGAAGAAGAGAATATTGGTTTGACTTCTCTTTTGTTTAACGTGGATTTTGTGTGGAAAAAGGATGCCTCACTCAATTCTTGAGTCAAGCTTGCTTCCCGTTGATGATCAGAACAAGATCGCTTGAATTCAAGAATGAATTAGCCTCTTGGCGAGTGCTTAAACGGCTACTGGTGGCTAATTTTAGCTCTTAACTTACGTGCTTCAAAGATGTTATGAGTGCTCTCCTCGCGTGAATGTCCCAGTTGCTAGATGATCCAAAATTGGCCTCTTCATAGTTGCTGAAGGCTATTTGTAGGCCCTTAGCATGTAACTGCTATGCTAAAATCATGGAGTCCAGGTGTAACCTACTCCTCAGATTTAGCCCACGTGGGCTGACTGGATCTTTAGGACCGTTATAGTCGAATTTCATTTGGTTAGATGAGTCTCTCTACGTGTCAGATGAGACGAGCCTCAATGCGAAGTGAGGTTCATCTAACAAAGCGGACTTCTTCCTTTGATGGCTGAGTTCTTTTGCATTGGCAAGCCTTATGAGCTTCTTTTGACAAACTTCGTCTTCATTGACGAGCTTCGTCTTCAATAATGAAATTTTTTGTCACTGACGAGATTGATCTTCGTCTTCATTGACGAGCTTTAGTCCTTGTTTCCACTGACAAACTTTATTATTTAAGATA